CTGTTTTTAGTTTTTCTTAAGTTAGACTGGCGTAGGCCTAGTCGATAGGCGGACGAACGGAAAAATCTTGGTTTACAAGAAGAAGTTATGGTAATAATAAGAAAATAATCCTTGTTGTTCTCTTTTTGTGTTTCGGTTTTATTCACTGTTTTGTGTTCTTAGATTCTGAAAACCTTCACTGCAAGAAGACGTACGACTAAAGGTACGCCTTCGTCCAATAAAACTATAACTCAAATATAGATGTTTTAATCTGGCAGTTAACTGCCAATTCCAGGTTTATTTTCTGATGATTTTCAGCATTTCCTCCCCATTTTCAACTTTTCTTCAGGATTTAAAGTAGATTCTAACAGTTAATTTCTGTTTAGAGCTGTCTTTAAATCACTTTCAGAAGTAAGCAAACCATTTGAGGTTTTCCTACAAATGGCCACAGGGTGTTTAAAGCAAGAAATGACATCCTAAACGGCATTAATAAAGATTTCCTTTTCATGCGTTAGATAAAAACTCGTTTAAGGCATTTGTTAGACTAATCTAACTGTTCTAACAGTCACACTTTTGCAACATATATGCATGTACCCATAGAAAAATGTCTTACTTCAGAATACAACGTAAACAAAAGTATGAATAATGTTTTATAGTATAAATATGCATTTTTGTTACAAAAGTATGATAAGTCGACCCGTTTAAACGTTGAACCGTCCGGCAACAAAACATGTGTAAGTTGTTAGATTGTCTAACCGTTAGACAATGAGGGTAAGAGTATGAATACCTCACCATTTTTTTTTTTTTTTGGTACAAATGAATACCTTACCATTAAACAAACTAACAAAAGACTTGGGACAAAAGTCACAAAATAACAACGAGTTAATTCATCTGCAAGAAAACGGGGGAAGAATTTAGAGAGGACCAACCAGTATGGAAAAATGGATCAAAAAATGGGTACACTAAGATGAAGCCCATTTGTGGGAAGAACGAGCCCACATTAAATTAACATCACACAAATTCCCGCAAATATTAATCAAATCTATATATATATAATTATAGCTCAAAACATTAAAGAAAACATCATAAATTTTACCTAGCTGACACTTTTTTTCAATTCTCGCCAATTTCCGTTACATTTTATTTATTTTTCGTTTTTTATTTTCTTCATTCAAGAACAGCTCAATTTTGGGGATGAATAAATGTATAAACTTGGAAACAAAACAATTCTGCCATTAATACGAGTTATTGAAAATGTTCACAAATTTTTTTAAACAATTAATTAGTCTGCTCAGTATATTATTTATTTTGTTATGCATAGTATCTTGAAATAAATTAACGAACAACAAATAAAAATTAAATAAAAGAAAATACAACCACCATAAAAACAAATTATAAATGAATATAAAATTCAAAAGCTCCTTCTCAGCAATAGTGTTTGCAATTCCTGTAAAAAGAAAAAAATTACATATCATATTAGTAGTTTATCAAATTAAAGTTGCAGGCATGTATATATGGAATTATTTTCATCAAGCCGTTAAAACTATTTTCATCTAGCCTCATTGACTGCTTTCTTTCATCTAGCCGTTACAAGTTGAAAATCATTTAAGATTTTTTGACAATGTAATTATTTTTGAAATGTACAGATCTTAGTAGATCTGTTAACAATATCATATAATTAAAAAAAACGGAACATATAAATTTTTGAAATTCATAGATCTCGATAGATCTTAGTTGTAATCGACCGATTTAAATCGAAGTACTAATAATCTGTAAGTCGATTTTGTAACTTGGTCTACTTTGCTATTAATTTAAAAAAAAAACTCCAAAAAATATTTTGAAAACGATAGATCTTCCAAGATCTTATTTGTAATCGTCCGATTAAACCAAAATATTACAAATCAGTAAATCGGATTTTTAACATCGGATCGATTTTTATTTTTCGATCTCTTTTTACCTCGAAAATGTATTTCCGAGGTGTTTTTTTCCCAATTTCCGTTTGTTCAACGGAACAAATCCCCGGAAAATCACACGTTGTTTTTCATTACCGGCGAATTTTTTTTAAGAAAGGCTGAGAAAAAAGGTTTGGGTCGGAGAAACTTAGAACAGAGAGAGAGACACAGAGAGATAGATCGCCGACACAAGAAGAAGAAATGACGTGATTTCAGCCATTTTAGGGTTTGGACCCGTTATATATTATGGTTACACGTATGTGGGCCACGTGTCTCTTTAACATTCTGCGGAGAGGTTTTAAACTGGGCTGAAATTTTCATGTTATAAAAACAAGCATATGGACGGGCTTAAATTGGTCTTCAACAATGCTTAAATTTGGCTGGATTTGGAACAATATGTATGTAATTTTAAATTTTGCTTTATTTTGAATGACTGACCCAAAAGCCGTATGGACCAAATATGCAAAGACTGGCCCAAAATAATTTCACCAGCTAAAAAATAAAATTATATTTAAACTTTTTTGCAATAAAATTTATTACATAATTTAACTATACAAATTTAAATATTCTGAAATAGGTATAAATTTATATGAAATTATTAACAATAAATTTTATTATTACATTAATTCATCATATCCCATTAATAATAAAATATTTTCTTACACTTTTTTTTGTAAATTAAGACAAAAACCGTTAACAATTATATTTTTTATTGTATCATATAATAGTTATTATTAAGATTAATAATTATATTTTACACTAAATGATATATGAAAGTTAAATAAACATAAAAAATTATATTGTAAAAACTTTTTGTTCAAGTTATTTATTCTAAAATCAATATTATATTTTTTTATTTGATTAAGTGATAGTATTAAAAAAATAATTTATTTTAATGTTATAGTAAAATTACTTAAAATTTCATAAGCAATTGTTATAATAAATTTAATATTTTTCAGCTAATTAGTTAGTCATTATCCCTCAAATTTATAAAAATTACATTATTTCTAACATTTATGCAATCAATATAAGTGATTCATATGCTATTTCTTTTAACCAATGATTAATGTAAAACATAATACCATTTTCTATCTTATAACTCATAATACTCTATGTTTAAAACATAATACCATTATCTAACTTATAATTTTAGTATTATATGCATATAAGTAACTTATAATACTTTATTTACATCTGTGCAAATGCACAGTGCAAATGCACAGGTCAAATACTAGTCATTGATCATCCCTCAATTAATCTTCTTAATTAAATTTAACTACTTGACAAACGAACTAACAACAACACTAAAATTGGTCGATCGATCAACCGATTCTCGTGCTTAAAAGCTGATTATATTCATTCAAATCTATGTCTAATTAATACAATAACAACTATCCAAATCATAGATCATTATTCTATACCTACACATGATTTGATATGGATGAGGGGCAAGAAAGATGTTCCTAATTCCGCAGTCATTTTATTTTATTTTATTTGTAAATGATTGAGTCGGGCTTTATTCGCCGAGCAGAGCCGAGTTGACTCATTAATTAATCGAACCAAAAAATGAACTCAAACTCGATTCTTTTATCAGAATTAACAAATCGAACTCGACTCATATTTCAAAAAGTCAAGTAAAGAAAATTATATTTTTCTTGGCTAACGAGTCAAGCTCGTTTATCAAATAAGTCGTGCCTTAACTACGCACTGAGATCTGTATAACAACTCTGTTGTTTGTTCTATAATATTTTGGGTTTTGGATATATGCGTATCTCTTAGTATTAAATTTGTACAGAACCCTTCTAATCTATTTTTTTAAAATTTGGCATAGAACAATATAAACACAATCCATTTAATCAATCTTGGATTTAGTTCATCTTTATTGAATTTACTTTCTCTCCATTGATTTCTGATGTTGTCAGTCATGGTATTTGTAAATTTCTGTAAATAAATTCATTGCGATGAATGAAGGTAGAAATATAAACTTCATTACTATAAAAGAAGAGCGATACAAAGTTTTTATATCTAACAGTACGCACATGCTCTTTTCCTCTCAACTAACTCAGCCAATAATTGTCCGACACGTGGACGAGAAGATGCTAGAATAAATAAACCAAAAAGAAGCACGTGAGAATCACGTTGCTGTAGGGAAAAAAAGTAAGCAAATAAATAAAAGGATAAGCGGAACACGTTTTTACACGCCCTCCTCAAGTTTGGCACTCGTGCGAATCGCACATGCCTAACTTGAACACTTGCTTTTGAAACATCGTCTTCCCCAACGGCTTTGTGAGGAGATCTGCAAGCTGATCTTGGGAGTAAACATGGCTAAGGTAAATGAATCCCTCTTTCACTTTGTTTCTGACCAGGTGGCAATCGATGTCTAAGTGCTTTGTCCGTTCATGGAAAATAGGGTTCTCTGCAATGTGAATTGCTGCTTGATTGTCACACCATAGAGTAATGGGAGTTGGATTAGGCATTCGCAAATCGACCCCTATGTTGTAAATCCACTGAAGCTCACACACTGTACTTGCCAGTGCTCTGTACTCTGCCTCGGCAGATGATCTGGACACTGTGCTCTGTTTTTTTGTTTTCCATGAAATGAGTGAAGTTCCCAAGAAGATGCAGTAACCTGTGACTGATTTTCTTGTGTCTGGGCATGTTCCCCAATCTGCATCACTGTATCCAATTAGGTTGAATGTAGCCTTTGTTGAGTAAAATAACCCCAAAGATGCTGTGCCTTTCAAGTATCTCACTATGTGTATAGCTGCATCCCAATGAGTTTGTGAAGGTTTGTTCATGAACTGGCTTAGTTGTTGGACAGCAAATGTTATGTCCGGTCTTGTGAAGTTCAAGTATAGTAGCTGCCCAATTAGCCTTCTGTATTTCTCAGGTTCTTCTAGTCCTTCACCTTCTTCTCCACTTAGCTTAATTCCTGCTGGTAATGGTGTGGTGACTGGTTTGCAAGCCTTGAGTCCTGTTTTGTCTAGGATGTCCAGCACATATTTCCTTTGGTTGAGATAGATCCCATGTTCATTTCTTGCTATTTCAATTCCAAGAAAATACCTTGCAAATCCCAGATCCTTGATGGTGAAGGTTTTGTCCAGGTAATGTTTCAGGGCTTTTAGTTCTTGTGGATGTGTTCCAGTAATGAGAACATCATCCACATATACTAGTAGTGCTAGGAACCCATCTCCATTGTTCTTTGTGAAGAGGCAGTGATCACATGATGACTGTGTCAGTCCATATTCGATTAACTTTCTGCAAAATTC